GGTCTACTGGTGGTTCGAGTCCTGGACCCAGAAGCTCGAAAATCACTCTGGGTATATGTGTATTTGTGCCCCAACTCCTGAAAGAGGAAATGGAGGAGAGGCGACTACAGCCCGACTATCCCCCACGGGGGTGCCTTCTCACTTTCCTTCTGTCTTTGTCTCTCCATAGCTCTCTAGCAAATTAAACAAGAAAAACATCAGAAACTTAAACTAACTCACGGACCGGGGATTCATACCCACCACCTTAGCTTTAGCACTTATTCCTGGTAGCTTTTCCAGAACTCCTGCCTCCACCTTGAAGACCTAGCACTTTCTCAATTCTAGCTTGGGCTTCTTCAGCATTTTCACTTTTCTGATGAAGACAGCATGGAAGGGATGCGAGTTCTCCTCTTCATCTGCCCCACTGCTGTCTGGAATCAGTTTACTGGGCACTTCTTTCAGGCCCTTTGTCTGCACTTCCCGGTCGTGACTTCCATCACCTTCAGATTTGGCGGACCTGCTGGTGCTGAGCGTAAGAAGTCTTCCATGTCCGATTGTTGCGTTTTTAGTGAGCCCACACAGACAAAGCAAAGCAAATAACCAACGGCAGGCTTGACACCAGCCCGAAGTCAGGCATGCACTGCTGTTTACTGACCACCGAACACATTGTCCTGGGTAAGATCCGTGCATGGAAGCCAGGCAGGCAGTTTTTGCCATGAGCATCCTTAGTAATTAGCTTGGATTTTCTAAATGCAGCTTCATCATTCTGCAGCTCTGAAGGCTCACTTCAAATACAAGCCCTGAAAGCTGTCAGATGCAGTTTTGGTCCCATGAGTCTAGGTGACTAGTATTTTTCCAATATTTCTTATATTGAACATGGCAGATACTTTACAGCATATCCATCTGTTTTAGAAAATGGATCAACCACTTTCTTCTTGGCTCCTTTAAAGCATTTTTTGTAAGGTACTTGTTCTTGCCAACTGACATAGTGTTATTGAGAGAGCTGAAAGTGTAAATATTTATTTATTTATTTAATTGCCAGGGATGGCCATGCTGTAATCCCTTCTCCTCCATTCTCTTCACGGGGTCTTGGACAAGCACGCACACATGACCGGCTTGAGTTTAAGCCACCGGGTCCGGGACTCGAACTGCGGTCGACTACATGGGAGTCCAGTGACATAGTCATTACACCAACTGCTGGTCCCACTTTTTAAAAAAGTTTTTAAGTTTTAATTTTTTTTTTTTTTTTTTTTTTTACGTTTTTGCTGTAGTATGTGTGTGCTCACCCAAGAGAGAAAGGGACAGTGAGAGGAAAAGTGAGAAATCACCCCCTGGGGATGATCTTGCTGCAATTTCTTCTCTTTTACTCTTCTCTCACACACACACACACACACACACACACACACACACACACGCCTGGCATGATTTTCCAGGCATCAGGTCTGGGACTCAAACCATGTAGTTAGCCATATGAGATCCAACTGCCTTAACCACTGTACCACGGACTGGCCAGCATGAAGGTCACTTTAAACAGCCCTATTTTGTTTTTGAAACCAAGAACTAAGCTTGGTAGAATTTCCTACCAAGCACTTGGTCTCAGTTTGCAGTGTTCATCCCAACTGCCTTTGTTTCTGTTCTTGCTATGGGGCACATGCACCCACCAGAAAGACACAGGGAGTGAGTGAGGGAAAGTGAGAAATCACCTGGTGGGGATGGCCATGCCACAATCCGTTTTCCTCCATTCTCCTTTTGGGATTTTGGGCACATACTTGGCGTGTTCTCAAGCTCCTGGATCTGGGATTTGAACCGTATAGTTGGCCATCTGAGATCCGGCCATCTTAACCACTGCACCAACAGCTGGTCCCCCTATTCATTTTTAGATGCCAGAGCCAACTCATCATTTCTGGCTCCTGTTTGCCTCAGTTCTGGATTTGCACCATGGCTCCCAGTAATCACTGACGGTGGGATGAGTGTGTGCCTAGACTCCATGCATCCCGTAGGACACGCCTGTGGCTCTTCCCGGAGTAACTCTTCAGCAGGTGCAGTAAGAGCCTACTCCCTGTGGTCTGGACCCTAGGGCAGAAAAATACCAGGCAGGAAT